AKKMSTSSTGTACCACGCCAAGACCAATGCCAGCCCAACAGTTGAGGKTATTACTCTTGGTTTGCCYTTGGGTTTCTTGCCTTTCTTGGTAAAGAGTCAGGGTCTGATTTGCTCAGTGTTTTTGTTGACTGTATTTGCATCAAAAACTGGTYCAAAAAGACTGAGGAGACCCCTGAAGACAGGATGGTCTACACCACAGCAGTTGAGAAGAGCTTGATTGTCACCACTAGCAAACAAATGGATGAATGGAGAGGCATTCACTTTCATGAGTGCAATTCTTGGTATCCTCCTAACCTGTTGGCGCCTGTCCTCACAGGACAGTCTGTGACGTGTCCACTCCTCCTCCTCCTCCTCCTGTTGCTGGAGAGCTGCCCATGCAATTAAAACCAACTCAAAGGAAATTTTGCTGTGGAGGACCAATTGATAGCCAAATAGTGAGGATACAGACTGTTTTTGTGTTGTTTTGGAGGAGGATTTGTTGCAATAGTTTTGAAGAGGATTCAATTTTGATAGTTTTGAAGACGGAGTGGGTTCCGTAAAAATCTCAATCATGTTGGCACCACTGGAATCTTGTTAAATTACCACGCAATTTTATGGGATTCCAAATTCCAAAAATGGGGGGGAAATATGTGGGTTGAGAGAGCCTGCAGAGCCTTCAGCAGTACCACTGAAAGTGAATCCTAAAAACATATCTTGATATATGTTATCGGGAATGACCCAATACTTGTCCTGAAGGATAATAATGAAAAACGACACAAAATACTATGGTATTACCAGTAGGTACATTATTCATGGCAGCAATGTGTCGTTCCAGGAATACTGGTACTACATGTGGCCCAGAATTTGGGTCTCAATCTTGGGATTTGGGTATTGGAAGTCCCTGGCACAGACTTAGATGGAATCAGTGACTCCTCTGTGCTAAAAAATGATGTTTCACTGGCAGCAAACACAGTAGCATTTTCTAATACAAGCACTAGTACTACTAGTAGTAGTAGCACTACTTGTACCTACTACTACTACTACTACTACTAGTTATGTTGTTGTTGGTTGGGGCAACAACAGGAACACCTTCCTCTCCTCCTCCTCCTCCTCCCCTCCTTCTTGTTGTTGTTGTTGCAGAACAGGAGAGGAAGACAAGCTGCCAAGGAGAAAGAATACCATCAAGACCATCATGAATGGTGCAACAACTTTGTTTTGTAGTAATAGTTCTTGGACAGCAAAAACAGCTTCACTCCTCCAACCCAATGTCCAATTTTAGTGGCAAGCCAGGTATCTCAGCAGCAGTCAGGCATCAATGTCCACCTGGAAGCAACAAAACTGACAGGGATGTATGGAAGACAAGCATCCAAGATGTTCTTGATGTTCCTGAAGTTTACTTCATCCAGGACCTCCTAAGCCCTTGATTTGTCCTGAGCCTGAGTCATTCAAAGGAAGATGCTCTTTCTTGCAGGGTCAGGGAAATACTTCTAATATCACCACTAGCTGCATGGTGTCAACAATCCTACCAATGCTAGTAATATAGCAGTATTATWTCAGTATTATATAATAATACTAGTAGTATCAGTTCTATCTATAATGTACTAGTGCCAGGGGTATTATTAGTTCTGATGCTATCCTTCTTCATAGATCTAGTAGCCGAAGCTACTCAAATGTTTTGCTAGTTCTTGTAGCAAASCAGGAACCAACACCGAGAGCGCACTAAAAATTACTAGCTAGTAATTGTGAACCTTTGAATTTCTATATTCTTCTCTTTTGTATTGACCTTGTTCTTCTCTTTTGCTTACGCCTTGGAACCACTCTCTTGCCACTCATTCCCTTGGATGAAATGGGGCAACAACGGTATGRTTGCATGTTTTCTACTTGCATTCAGTACCAAGTTGGAAAGATCGTGTTGAATCCATCATGAGTTTGAAAAGAGAAGAAGCAGATGCACTCGCCATCGTCCCACGCTTTCCATTCTYCTCGCAAATGCCGATCGTTTGCCTCTTTCTTCCTGCCGGTCCATCTTGCGTGCCACACGATCGTCCTCGTGTGTTCGATCTGCGGTAGAATGTGTTCAGAATCGTACRATGCGGGGCRGATCGTTCGGTTCGATCCATACGTACCGTACCCTCCGCGTCTGTTGTCCCCTGTGTGTTCGTGCGTGCGTGCGTGCGTGTGCGATCCCGTGTTACGAAACGCCTCGGCGCAGACCGCCGCTCACGCGAACGACCTTCGGAGGATGGCGAAGCATCGATCGGAGCAATCGGTTCGCGTCCCCGGCGTCGAGAACCGAGTTTTCTTCCCGGAGACAACTCGCGGACCCGCAGGCCAGACCAAAGGCAAAGGACACCGCCGCGTGGACCTGGATTCTGGACAAGGAGGGGCAATCGTCCCTTTGGAGGACCTGCACCATACCTTCCAAAAGGCCGAGGGATTCTTTCGAGAGAATCGACGACGWAGCGCTTGCAGCATCGATTGCTGCGAGGTCCGCCCATGCCCCTACCATTCCAGCCGCAACGGCATCTGCAAACAGGAGCAATTCGTCCACGGTTGGAAAAGGAAAAAAATAAAAACATAACATAGAAAAAAAGACAGAGGCGTCAGGGTTTCATGTTCCAAAGGTTTGTGCTACATCTTTTCTCCTGCAACCAAACCAGCACTTAGGGATGCTACGCTACGCTGCGCAGCGTTGCGCGGCACTGCTTACCTCCGGCACCGATGGGGTACAAGGTCCGAGAAGTGTCCAGACTCGGCACGGGGAACCAGAGTATTGTAAAATCCTCGTCGCCGGTGTTGCCGTTGCCGTCGTCGTCGTCGTCGTCGTCGCCGCCGCCGCCGCCGTCGCTGGTGTTCTCTGCCATGCCAACAAAGTAGGCATCGTGCTTGCCATCGGTGATGGCCAATCCGACGACGCCGCACGCGGATGCGTTGCCGGTTCGGCGGCGGAGGGCCTCCCGGTGCAGCGAACAGAACCCCTCGGCGGCGCCGACCAGCTCGCGGGGGGTCACCCCTCCGGTCTCGCTGCCGGCCTTTGGCGTCCCCCCGAGCTTGCACAGCTCGGACGCGTTGAGTTTCAGCACCAGCGGGCCGAGGCCGCCGGCGGTGCGGAGGACCGGGTCGATCCCGGCCAGGGAGTCCACCACGCACACCGTTTCCGGCCCCGCCACCCGCTCGTAGATCTCTGCGTAGGTGCCCCCGGGGCACCCGGGCGGCATGCTGCCCATGACGCAGAGGGCACGAGCCCGGCCGSCGSCGGCAGMGGCACCCGGAGGGGGCAGCCGCSCCAGGAGGTCCCCGAGTTCCCCGGCCGCAATCCTCCCGCTCGGCTCCACCAGCTCGGTGGTCTCGTCGGCCGCAACGATCGAGGTGCAGGTCCTCAGCTCGGTGGCRGACCGGACCGTCAGTCCCATGGCGTTTCCCCCGAGTCGGTCCTCGAGCATTCCGTAGACGGTGTCCCCGGCAAAGCCGGTCCCGAGGAACTGGACCAGCCGGATCGCGTCGCTGTTGTTGCTGCTGCCGTGTTCTTCGCCGACGATTCGGTCGCCTTCCGTGAGCAGGCAGTGGAGCGCAATGGCGACGTCCTGGCCCTTTCCGCCTACCCCGAAATCCACCCCCGCGGCCCTGTGGACGTTCCCCGGCACCAAGACCTGCCGATCGGGCAGGACGAAGCGTTTCTGGAGGGCACCGTTCAGGCCGACCACCACAATTCTGTTGTTCACGGAAAGGGGATTGTTGGCGTTGGTGTTGGCGTTGCCGTTGGCGTTGCCGTTGCCGTTGCCGTTGGTGTTGCTGCCTACGCCACCGCCCGCGAATGCTGCTCCCGCTGCCATTTTGATTGCGTGGCGATGCAAGATCATGTACTTCGCGCTGTCCTATTGCTGATACCCTTATAGATATCGCCTCGTGACTGCAATACAATATGGGAGCTCTCTTTCTCTCTCTCTCTCGTCTACGCTTTTGCTGTGGTCCGAAAGATTCACTTTGTGTTCCTTCTCTATTAGCACAGCACAGAACGATGCGATGCCACCCTCTTTTTTCGTGGATTTTGGATTTTAGTTTTTAGTTCTTGAGATGGGAGACGCTTTCGTGCCAGGATTCAAAATTCGACTCCTACGAGTCGTGAGTAGAGCTAGCTCGCCGTGTTGTAAGGAACCGCTCGCTCAGTTATTTAGAAGTACTCCTACGTACCATACGTACGTAATGTTTGGGGTTGATTCTTATACCTACCGTCTACCGTCTACCGTCTACCGTACGAGTTAAGGTACGAGCTCCGTGCAGAATGATAAGTTTAGTACGATGCGTAAATACGTACGTAGGCTACGACTACGAGTACGATGCACGACCGCAAGTGGTACCGTACGAACCATACCATATCGTCGTTGAAAGCGCGATGAAAAAAATCATGGGTTCGCGAACACCAACAAATATTTTTTGTTTTCGAATGGACCGCACAAACGATGATGGTTCATTCATCGCATCACTGCGGTACAGTAAAAAAAAAGGACAGGCAAGGTTTATCGATCGAATTCGCTTTCGTACTCGTACGTAACGTCGCAAGACTAAACGCCCATATCTTTTTTCCCAACCCGGAAAGAATCCCAGTTCGAGAACGGAAGCCTCGCGTTTGGTGCGATTCGTGAAGTGAGCAATACGGTACAAAAATACAGCAATTGTCAATTATGAAGAAGGCACTTGCCGTTCCTCATAGTTCCAAAACACTAGCAAAACGATCCGTATTCCCCCTGCTCGCAATCCTCTTCAGCCACACCACAACCTTTGCCTTTAGCAGCAGCAGCACGAACGCCATCGGCGGAAGGACTACAAGCAACAACCCGACAAACAGAAACAAAAACAAAAACACAAAGGCACTCAACGACAGAGCGAACCCTTGCCACACGAATCCACGCCGAAATACAAACAGCATGTCTCTCTCGATGGACACGGACGATCTGGCCGTCCAGGCCAACTCGTACGCCTCGGCAAACGGGATCCAGGTCGAGCGACGAACCGAGGGAAGCGGAGACGGAGAAGAAAAGCCCAAGACCTACTTCGAGGGGGCCCCCATGTCGCTCCTCCCCAACGCCTACCCGAGGCAGGCCTTCGAGCAGGCCAAGAGCGTGGCCCCCGCCTTTAACGAGCTCGTCGATCGCGTCAGCCGCGACGCCGAATTCCTGGAGGCAACTCTGGGCGGGGGCGTGAGCTCGATGGACCCCTACACGGGCAAGCTCCTCGCCCTCTACAAGGACGTCTACGTCGAGGAAGGGAAGGGTGCGGCCGCCAGGACCGCCGACCGCCTCGGGGTGCACCGRAGCGATTACATGCTGCACAGGGACGGCGATGGTGCCTCCTATCAGCTCAAGCAGGTCGAGCTGAACACGATCGCCTCCTCCTTTGCCGGCCTGTCGTGCAAGATCGCCAGTCTCCACCGATACCTAACGTCTCGCTACGAGACAGAAACCAGCGCATTCTTGCAAGAAAACGTCAAGCAGGTGGTGGACGAAGACGCAGCGGAAGGGTCGCCGGAGGGGCCCGGGGTCCCGTCCAACCCCGCCCTGGAAGAACTCCCGCTCGGCATGAAGGTGGCCTACGACCGATACGTCGAGCGCTTCGGGGGCGATTCCGGTAAGAAAAAACCCGTGGTCTTGTTTGTCGTGCAGGACGGCGAAACCAATACGGTCGACCAGCGCCTGCTCGAATTCGCCCTCTGGGAAACCCACGGGATCCCCGTGGTGCGGCGGTCCCTCACCAAGCTCGACGCGGAGCTCTCGGCAAGCGAAAACGGGGCYCTGGTGCTGGAAAGCACGGGCAGCGAGGTCGCCGTCGTGTACTTCCGGGCCGGCTACGCCCCCACGGACTACCCCGACGGAGACGACGGGATCGAGTGGAGGGCCCGGCTCACCCTCGAAAACTCGCGGGCCACCAAGTGCCCCTGTCTCGGCTACCACCTGGCGGGAACCAAGAAGGTCCAGCAGGAACTGGCCCGGCCGGGGGTTCTGGAACGGTTCTTCCCGGAGGACGCCGGCAAGGTGGCGGCCATGCGGGCCTGCTTTGCCGGCCTCTACAGCCTGGGAGACGATGCGGTCGGGGAAGACCTAAAGGCCGTCGAGGAGGTCCTGGACGGRGGGCACGCGGGGTACGTCCTGAAGCCCCAGCGCGAGGGTGGCGGGTACAACTTTTACGGGGAGGACCTGGCAAAAAAGCTCGCGGCCAGCGTCGATCGCGACGGCGGGACCACCCTCAAACTCGGCGAGGACCTCGCCGAGTACATTCTCATGCAGCGCCTCTTCCCGCCCCAGCAGAGGGCTATTCTGATGCGGGGCGGGAGGGTCGAGGGCACCGGGGACTCCATCTCGGAGCTCGGCGCCTTTGGAACCCTGGTCTGTGACGCCAACGGAAAGGTCGTCCACAACGCCTACGCCGGATTTTTGCTGCGCACCAAGTTCAGCAACGTCGACGAGGGCGGCGTCGCGTCCGGCTTTGCCACCCTGTCGAGTCCGTACCTGTGCTGATCGGATCAAATCCAATCGAATCCAATCGAATCGAATCCAATGGAATCCGAAATCGAAGCGGGCGGTGGCGGCAAACAACACGATCCAATCCAAACCAATCAGATCGAGTGAAGCAATGGAATTCATCATTGCAAAACACCGAACGCTTGCCGTGGCATCCTACTGTTCGCTAAGATACAATTTAACATTTAGGACGCTTTGGAAAAATCCACAAAATACGATGACATTCCTTCCGAAACTAGAATTCCTATTGATTGATAACTCAAAACCATTTCGTTGTTAGGCTGCTTTCATAGATCCTCGCCGATAGAATTCCGCATGAACACGACATACAACAGTTTGCCTGAGCGCCATTGTTATTTTGCGCGATACGGTCTGGACCGTTCCGGCTGCGTCATTCGGTTCATTGTTGTATTGCGTGGCCCCGATGGCCTCTCTTTTCGAAAGTTCTTGGAAGAGCAAACACAATCACAAAAAAAAAGCCAACTCTTTCGGTTTGTCCAATGGGAACAGCTGAAGCTTGCCCGTCCCACCAAAAAGCAAGCCAGCTGGCAGCGCCTCTACCCTCAGACCAGAACAAAGGGATCCCCGACCTTTGCCGTGATGGAACGGTTCAGCATGCCGAGGTACGAGTT